CCCTCCCCCCAACAAGAAAAAAAAAAACTGCTTCACCTTTTTTTTATCAATAATAATAAACTTTATTTCAGTATCAACCTCGAAGCTATCTCATATTGTTGTTGTTTGGCGTTGCTATTGCAGCATTGTTGACTAAGATTTCATTTATTTTACGAATATCGACTGTATCAGACTGTCTATTCGGTAATAAAGAAATTGATTTCAGTGTTAACAGCTTATTGACCATTTCGTCAAACAGCTACTTCTGATTTCCGGGAAGAAAAAAGCGACGAATTTTATTCAATACAGAAGGCGCACTAAAAATCAGAAAATGTTAGCAGCGCTCAACTGAACCAATGAAATTCAACATCTGGGTTTCTGATTCTGATACCTCTGTCCCCTTTTCAAGATAAAAGATATCCATATGCTATAAATACCGTTCCTGATGAAGCAATAAACACATGTAAGAAGCACTAATCAACAGCTATTTTATTCAGTCCAGCATTTACAATAAAATGTTTTCTTATACAGTTGTAGAACAGTTATATTTTTTCGAAACTTCCTTCTTAACATACATCTTTATAGTAACAGAACTGCTGATTTGAAACTTTTGACTGTGTACCTGGCGTAACTTGGTATAACTGTTAATGCAAAACCAGAAAATTATACGATTTGAATAACAAAAAAAAAAAGAAAACAGTAAATAAAAATTTCTATTCAAGAAAACAGATAAAAAGTTGATAAAAGAAAAAAAAATTTTTTTGTTGAGAAAGAGTATTTTTGATGTTATCCCAACATATCGTTGCAAAGAAAGAAATACTCTTTGTTCAATTTAAAAGTATGCATCAGAAAGAAAAAAATAGGTGTAAAAGAACAATTATACAATTATCTCAAGCCATTTGATTAGATTTTAATAGTTTAAAAAAAGAAAGAGGTTTTTCTCGGTTAAATTGTTATCATTTTTTTGTACTTTTTAAAACTAAAGCATTTAAAATAGAACGATAAAAAAAAGGTTTTTTTTTTCTTTTCTCTCCAAAAAAAAGTGCAGTGAACTACAATTTCACAGAAGTTAAAATATATATAGTTTTTTTTTGAAAATTGCTGAAACTTTTTAAAAGTGTTTGGCAAATCAGAAATCAGAAACAAAAAACAATGGTACTCCTAAAGCTGCAATCACAAATACAATGCAATTGATACGTATAGATGAAACTTAAAGTTTTTTTCTTTGTGTGACTACCCATCATATTGATCTTCAAAAAAAAATTGTTTTTTGCCCTCCTCTTGGTGAAGATTTAATTTTTTTCTCTCTCTTTAACTGTTACATATCGTTACAACAAAATATCAATTAAAGCAAAAAAAAAAAAATGTCTCAAAAAACTTCCAAAATTCATTAAAAAAAACCAAAAAAAATTTTTTTTGAAGAACAAAATGTTTTTACTGCTAAAACTGAAAAAAAAATACTCAAAAAACAACCACCGCAAATGTATGACAGCTTTTATCTTTTTTATTTTTGCTGCTGCATCTCAGACTTGTACGAATTTTTTCGACTGCTTCGTATCAGTTTATGCAATCAGACAAATAACACTAATCTTTTGTCGTCCTTCTCGGTTGAACGAGTTCCAGTTTTAGAATGCATAGATCAGTGAAAAAATAAAATATAGACCGATATCAACAGGGGAAGATGTAATTTTTCTTCTTTTCAGAACAGCTATACCAGCATTTAGAACACCGTCCATTTCATCAGAAGCACCTATCCCGAAAGGACTGCCTTCCATAAACTACCCTTTTCATAAAAATAAAAAGAACTTTATGCCTCACATACTAAATGTTCACTAAATTTTTTTTTGCAGAATAAAGAAATTTTTTCCAGCAACTGAAAGTGAAGAAATATTTGAGGTAACCCTTTGCCATTAGTTAAACCAAATCATTCATTTTTCTTCGGTGCATTTCAAAGAAGAAAAAAAGCAATTGCTACGTCCCAACGCCTTCTGGATAATTTCCCTTTTCTATTTTTTTGAAAAAAAATTTCAATTTCATTCATTTTAATAGCCAAGCAAAACGGTTTTTTACTAACTGCTTAATACGTTATGATTTATAACTGTTCAGCTGATAAG